GCCCGCCGGGTGCCCGCCCCTCCCGAGCCCCAGCGTTGTTTGGGGCGGCGGCCGCAGGCTCTCACAGTGGGGAAACTTAGGCCGGTGGAACAGGGAGGGGGTGCAATGGGTCTAGCTGCGGGTGGGGAGAGGACGCAAAGCCCCTGCGGGCTGGGCCTATCCTGCCGCACAGTGGTCCTCGAACTCCAAGAAACTTCTTCACCCCCTTCCCCATCCGTCTGTTCCCCCACACGTTCCTCTCTGGGCAGCCTGCCGCTTCCTGCCTTCCCGCCCCTCTTCCTCGGCCACCTATTCATCACCCCACCTATTTTTCCATCCACCTCTTTGCCTATTCATCCATTTCCCCACATATTTTGTGTGTAGGTTCATCCGTTCGTCTCTTCATCCATCCGTCCTTCTGTCTTTCCACCTATCCATCCAGCCTTCCATGCATCCGGTTCATTCCATGTATCTTTCTTGCCTCCCGTGCACCAATCTGTCTTCTTCCTTTCTTGTATTCTCCCGCCCATCTCTGGGTTCATCCGTGCTCTGATGCGGTCATCCCACGTTTAATGGGGGCTTCTTCAGTGCTGGCCTCTCCCTTGCGGGGCCCCCTTGCGCTGGGGCCCCGCTGGATCACACCTTCCCTGGAGAAGCCGCGGCAGAGGGCCAGGCAAGCGGCCCACAGCTGGTCTGCTGTAGTAGCGCTCTGAGGACGGACTCTGAGCGAGGCCTGGTCACTTCGGTCTGAAGAGGCTACTGGAAAGGCTTCACCCTTTGGAGCCTCCTCCGTGAGCATAGGTGGGTGTGGGGAAGAGAAAAGAAACTCTTAGCCAGTACATGCTATGTGTCTGGTGGTAAGGTATCTTGCTGAATCCTCACGGCTCCGTTTTGGCCCAGTTTTAGAGGCGGGGAAGCAGGTTCAGAGAGATGAAAAGAGCCTTGGAGTGTGCTGGGAAAAGGCCATGGGGGTCAGCCCTGGCTGTATATCTTGGCTTTGCCACTTTCTTGCTGTGTGTTTCTGGGCAGCTACGAGGCTCCACGTCCTCATCCGAAAGTCGGAAATGGCATGTGCTTTACAGCTGGGACGTGGTTATATGCGAAGAGTATGGTGCCTGTCCAGTCAGTGCTCAGCCCATGGCAGGTGTTATCATTATAGGAGAGGTTGGGATTCAAACCCAGGTCCTGTGCTTCATCACTTCCCAAACCATGTCTAGACCACGTCCGTCACTCCATTCCCAGAGACCGGCCCCTCCTCTCCCACCAGCTGGGCCTCGGGACTCATATCCCCCCCAGTCCTGCAGCTGCTGTCGTCCTGCTAAGGGCCTAGTTTCCAACACCATAGTCATAAGTTGAATTGTGTACCTGCCCCTCCCCCCCATTCACATGTTGCAGTCCTCACCCCCAGTACCTCCGAGTGTGATCTTGGAGATAGAGTCATTGCAGATATTGCAGTCATTAAAGATAAGGTGATAGAGAGCAGGGCCTAGTCCAATACGACCAGTGTCCTTATGGAAGTGGGAAATTTGGACACAGACGTGCACGCAGGGAGAGCATCATGCGAAGATCAGAGTTACGCTGCCACAAGCCAAGGAACTACAAGGAACCAGGAGGGAGGCCTGTCACAGATCCTCCCGAGCGCCTTCGAAGAGAGCGGGGCACTGGCGGGACCTTGATCTGAGACTTCCAGCCTCCTCAACTGAAGACAATCCATTTGTGTTGTTTTAGCCACTCGGTGTGTGGTACTTCATGACAACACCAGCAAAGCAATACAAACACCAGAGGCCATTTTCTCTGTCTGTGGAGGTGACGCGGAAGGGCAGCTACCCAAGGCAGTGACCAGACCGAGATCTGCTGAGCAGGGGCTGTGGTCCCTGCTGCTTCCCTGGGCCCAGCACGGAGCCTGGCCAAAGCCGGGGCTTGTCAAGCCTCAGGGAACTGTGGTTTGTTTGTTTATTTGTTTTTTAACAATTGACGAATTTTTACTTCCTAGATGAAGATCTAGAACATTTCCAGCACCCCAGATGTCCTCAGTATGCCCTTTACCAGGGTAACCACTGTTCTGACTTCTATTGCCAACAAGAGTTTTGAACGTGATATAAATGGAATTACACACTATGTACTCTTTAGCCTGACATTGTTCCTGAGATTGAGGCATCTTGTTGAATGTAGTTGTAGCTCATTTTTTTAAATTGACAGTGTAGAAATGTACACAGTACAAATGTCTCACAAATGTATCAGACTATACAAATGTATCACAATGTATTTGTCCATTCTATCATTGGTGGACTATCTAGGTTGTTTCCAGTTTTTAGCTCTGATGAATAAAGCTGCTATAAACATTCTCCTATATGTCTCTTACGGAACATATGCACCTCTTTGTCTTGGAGTGGAATTGCTGGGTCATAGAGGAGGCATACCTTTTCCTTCAGCAAAAGTTGTCACACAGTTTTACAAAGTGGTTGAAACAATTTACACCCCCCCCCCATCAGCAGCGCATGAGAGTTCTAGTTGCTCCATATCTTGATATTGTCAGTCTTTTTACTTTGTGCCATGCTGGGCATGCCATGGTATATCATTGTGGCTTGAATCTGCATGTCGCTGATGGGTAAGGCTGTTGAGCACCTTTTCATATACCTATTGTCCATTTGTACCTGTTTGAGTGTTTTGTCCATTTAAAAGAATTAGGATATTTATCTTTTTCTTATTATCTTATTATTTATTTCTTATCTTTTCCTTATAAATATATTTATCTTATTTCTTATACGAAGAACTTTTGGAGTTCTTCATATTTTATGCATATGAATCTTTTTTATCTTTTTTTTTAAGATTTTATTTATTTATTTGAGAGAGATAAAGAGAGATAGTGAAAGAGAGCATGAGCAGGGAGGAGAGAGAGAAGCAGGCTCCCTGTGGGGCTTGATCCCAGGACTCTGGCATCATGACCTGAGCCAAAGGCAGATGCTTAACCAACTGAGACACCCAGGTGCCCCTGCTTATGAATCTTTTAATAAAGTTTTATATCACCAAAAACTTACACACACACACAGACAAACCAATCATCACTTCAGCTTAAAAGCCATTTTGATCCTATTTAATTAAATACAAGCAATTTCTCATTTCAGGAAGTGACTGCAGGCCACATAATACATGACATATTCATCTCATATGTACACGGTAGGGCTGGGCCCAGTGGACCCAGCCTGATTTGCACCTGCTTGAACAGACCACTCTCTCTGGACTTGGCTCCAGAGCAGACTTCAATTCAGTTTGATTGAACAGGTAGGGGGACAGGTGGTAAGCCCCACTTGTTTCTTCTCCCAAGATGGGCTGATGGTAAATCTGCATCACCCCCATGGACCAGGGTGGTGGGAAGCACAGAGTGAGGCAATCAGGGTAGAAACAACACCCTCTGGCTGGTTTCTAGGGCTGGTCTCCCACAACTAAGCTGGATGCTCACAGTTTACTACGTCTGCCCTGTGGCAGGTTCTGGGGACCTAGAGATGGTTAGGACACCAGCCTCATCCTGGGGGAGCTCACAGTCAAGAAGAGTTGGCAGGAAGCAAGGAAGCATGGCATGGAGTGCTGGCATAATAAGGGCTAAGTGTCACTGCTATGAAAAGGGATGTTTGGCCAGGATGCAATGGAAGGAAGGCTGGAGGCTCCCAGCTCTTGATGGGTCTCAGGGACATCTTCACAGTGGAGTTGATACCGTTTGAGATGTGCCTTGATGGATGAGCAGGAGTCACCAGGCAGAGGGTACTAAGCAGGGGGTTCCAGGCAGGGCTTGGTGCAGAGCTTCCCAGTGAGTGACAATTTTGTGGCTGGAGGGTAGGGCGTGTTGGGGGACAGGGCAGGAACATTAGGGTGGACCCAGGAGGGCAGAGCCTTCCCTCCCACAGCTTCCAGGGAGCCCTGGCGCCTGGGATCGTGTTTCCTGGGGATGAACTCTGGGTTACAGCTTTCCCAGGGTCAAAGTGTGCTCAGTGAGTGATTATTTGTATTAGAGGAATCATTTCTGGTCCCTCCCCATAGTTACTGCTGTCCATGAAACAGAGCATAATGTCTGGCCCTTGGTGGATACTTACAAGAGGGAGAGTCTGTCTCCTCCTCTCACCTGAGAACACTTGTCTAAAAAGGAGTAACATTTGGTTCTGTGTTGTTTTTCTTCTGGAGTTGGGACCTAGTAGACAGGAGATGAAGTAAGGTGGTCCCCTTGATGCCCAGCTTTCTGGGCCTGGTCGGGAGAAGCAGGGTTGGAGCTCTTGGAGGAAGGCTGCCATGACCAGGGTGGACCCGGTCTTGAGGCCCAGGGTCTGGGTGGGCTGGAGCCGCGAGGCAGGTGGGAGGGGCTGCTCGAAGGGCATACCTGAAGGACTGGGCCTTCCAGAGGAAGCTTCTGGCCTTGGTGATCTCCTGGGCCAATTTCCTTAAATCATCTCCTTCAAACAGTGGCAACAGGGGATCCTCGGAAAGAAGAAATGAACGTGAAGTTACATCCATTAAATGACTGGATGCAACTGCAAATCCAAAATCTCAGCAGAAAAATTTTAGAGTTTATCAAATGCGGTCTCCCACCCAATGCAGGAAATCTGTGGGACTTGGTTTGCCTATCTCCAGGGACAAAGAGCTCACCACTTGCCAAGGCAGTCATTCTGCAAATGGGACACTTTGACATAAGGTGTCTGAGGGTCCGTGTCAGGAGCGAGTGGGCAGAGGCAAACTGAGATGCTCACCGAACTTCACTGAAGTCGGCGGCCCCTCTCTTCCCAGCAGAACAGAAGCGGTACCTGCTCCTTATCTCCCTATTACTTGGTGAAATTTGTTCTGCCCTTTCCCTATTGCTTCTAGTAAAACCAAACTTCACAGACATGCTTTCTTTGTTATGTCAACCAGTAGAATTCCAGAGGCTAGCATTAAAAACACAAATTCTCACAATCAGCGAGAGAATGTAAGAAAGAGAAGAAGCTGCCTCTGTCCTTGGCAGCAGGAGCAGAATGATCCCATTCTGCATCCAGAAACTATTCAAAGACTCTGATTTGTCGAGGCATTGAACCGAGGACCCTCGCAATATTGTCAAGTGTGTTTTCCTAAGTTATAAGGACATGGGTGAATATTTATTACTTTAACTTGTTCTGTTCTCTGAACTATTTGTAATATTTGTCCCTAGAAGAGGTACTTGAACAAAGGAGTCATGCAAAGCGTTTGACTTCAAAAATTATTCCATGTCCTGTGATATGTACTTTAACTTCCAAAAAGAAATCTGGAGTTCTTGTTGTTCATCTTACTTGATAATTTGTTGCCTTGAAAATGCTAAAATTGACAGCACTGTGTTCCTAAAAGGTTTAAACATGTGCATAACTTTTCGGTCAGATCAGAAGAGGATGGTTGGTATTCTCCTCTTATCTCGTGTGGGTGACGGAACCTGTGACTTTATTAGATTTACTACTTAGATCATTTGAATATCTGTGTTTCAATGAATTGAACACAGGGAGACAGAAATATGCAGGACTCAAAACAAAGAGGTTAACAGCGTGGGTATCCGGGCTCTCGCTTTACCATTTGCTATGTCCTTAGGTGTATTCCTATCCCTTGCTGAGCCTATTTATTCATCTGTTTAATGGGTATAGTAATGGTTGAGAGGATTGAAAGGGGTAGTCTATATAGAGCAATGGACCTGCACAAAGTGAGGGCTCAATGAATGTGAACTGTTCTATTATTTTTTTTAAGATTTTATTTATTTATTTATTTTAGAGGGCGAAGAGTGTGTGTGTGAGCGGGGAGGGGCAGAGGGGAAGGAAGATGGAGAGGGAGAGAATATTAAGCACACTCCACGCAGAGCACAAAGCCCAATTGAGGGCTTGATCTGATGACCCTGAGATCATGACGTGAGCCAGAATCAAGAGTCAGCCCAACCGCCTGAGCCACTCAGGCGCCCCTGAACTATTCTATTATTAAACAACATGTCCATGCTCTGCCTCTTTCCCATCCTGAGGAGCCGGCCTAGAGGAAGAGCATCAGGGAAACAGAACCCCTTCTAGCCAATACTTTCTAGTCTCCAAGAGAAGCAGAGATCTTTCCAGTTAGAGGGGGAAAATAAAACCCCACCTCTGTGGACATTATATCGAGACATTTGAGCAGACTTGGCTCCGTCGCTCCACAAACCTACCCTTTCGTCCACGAAGCCCTTGGTCAGCAGGCCGTGGATTTTGAGGAGTGTGTCCTCATCAACGGGGCAGTGATAGCGGCCCCCTGTGAGGGTGGCCAGGTTTCTCAGGAAGTCAGCCGCCGCCCTAGTCCAGAGAACAGAGGTGCTGGGGCCAGGCCCGCTGACTGGCCAGGCAAGTTGCCTGCACACCCCCAGCCCATGGGGAGCTCAAGTCTCTGGGGCAGTGGCCCTCGGGCCAGGAGGCTCCGTGTTCTTGAGACCATGTGGGCATCACAGGCCCAGCCCCTGTCAGTTTATGGGCAGTGAACGTGAAAACACACAGCCAGCACACCGTCCTTAATCTAGCCAGTGCCTGCTCCTATGTGTTAGGCCTGGCAGGGACACGGGTGTGACCTTTATGGAGCTCGTGGTTTAGACAAATATGTACCCAAGTCATCACAGTTTTGCCAATAACGTTAAAGTCTTTTTCCGAAGGAGCAGAATCTCTCTGGTCTAACACATGTTCCTCTACGGTGATGATTTATAAAAATAACCATGACAATGCTACTTTAAGCTCCTTTCCCCTCAACATTCACCAGTGGGCTCCTGAGAAAGATCAGGAGGGACAATACCGCACGTGCCATTGGTTTCCAGACTGGAGACAGGAGAGCGGGTTCTGGGAGGTCGAGAGAGGGCTTTCACTCTGCGTAACACCTGCCCAGGCCCTTCTCATTTCTCACTTACGGATCAGGGCCCAGGCAAGATCAGGGTCTACGGGGAGGCCCTGGACTGCGCGAGTTGCTCAGGCCTTGGCCCTCACACATGCAGCCCGGGGAGAGGAACACAGCTTGGAGCTGGCTCCTTCTTGCCCACCTGCCTGAGCCGTTCAGGGAAATGGTGTGCATTTTCACATTGCTTTTCTCCGTGAGTCTTCGGACTTCACTCAGAATGAGGCTGCAGCTTGTATCTGGCTTCCCGTCGGTCAGGAGGTACAATCCTTCTACATTGTGAAAACTGAAGGCTTTCTGAAAGAGCACGAGCAGGTCGTCTGGCTCGGGGACAGGCGCTCACCGAGAAACCAAACTGCCTGTTGTCCCCAAGGAAAATGTGTCTGATTGGATTCCCCTGACTTGTCCGTTAAGAGAGACGCTCCCCCCCTCCAGCCTACCATGGACCAAGGAGGCTGCCAAGGTTTAGGAGAAAGAGCACAGCCCACTTCCTGGCTGGTTAACCCCAGTGAGTCACTTAACCTCTCTGAGCCTCTGTGTCTTCATCTATAAAGTGAGAACAAGAATCCCTTTCTTACTGGGTTGTTGGGAAGACGAAATAAAGTAACACTTAGTAAATCTAAAAGGCTCTTTGTAATTTGAAAGTATCCGTATAGGGGGTGAGGGTATTTCTGTTTGGCGGATGGGGGTGGGCTCAGTGGTAAAGAACTTGCCTGTAATGCTTGCAGGATGGAGGTGCTCCCCTGAGCGCACAGCTGGGTCACCCACTGCATGGCCTCGTGGCATGCCGCATCCGTGGTCTCCACCAGAGTGTCCCGCCACAGTCGCAGGTCCTCCGCAAAGCTGAGCAGGCTGAAGCTGGGGATGGGGGAGAATAGGTGGGGGGCAGAGAGGAGGTGAAAGGGAGTGGCTAGAAGAAGGCTGGCTGAAGCAACCCCCGTGAGGACTGTTCATGTCTAGCAGAGTCAAGCCCCTACAGTGAGCCCCGGGGCCCCTCGGGGAGAAGGAGAAGGTACACACCGAAGATTCCAGATGCAGACCGAAATAGATTAACATCCCACCTTGGCTGCTTACAGGGTATGTGATCTCTGGCAAATTACTTAGCCTCTCTAAGTCCTAATCTCCTTTTCTGAAAAATGGGGATAATAACGGCAATACCTCGTGGGGGCGCTGTGAGGACTGAACGAAATCATGCACATAAAGTGCTTGGCAAGTGGAAAGTGCTCAATAAATTTTACTCTTATTAATAAGAAGGCAAGAATGAGTCCCAGCCTAGGAGAGTCTCCTGCTGTCTCCTAGCATCCACCTCTCTGGGTAGAGAAAACAAACAACCCCGAACCGCCCCCCTTCTTAAAAAATCAAGTTGAGCTGAAATCCACAATTCAAGGCCACCTGGTGATTCCTTTGCTCTGCTTGCAATGGTCCCTGGGCCCAAGGTGGATTTCTAAAGGCTGCTTTACTTCTTTACTGCTCAAATAAGCTCTGCCTCCAGGCCTCGGGAACGGTGAAGAGGGAAGCCCCACAAACTGCCCCTTTAATCGTCCTGCCCCCCACCCACTCGTGCCCCTGCCTCTCACCTGTCGCAGTGCTTCCGCAGCTGCTCCCAAATCAGCAGAATCAGCTCCGTCTTCACCTGCTGCAGGTAGGGGCCCATGGATCCCGACGTGTCCACCAGGATGCACACTCTGCTCTCCAAAATGGTGCCAAAGAGTCGGCGGCTCCCTGCTCCGAAGTGGTGGGGGCAGAGGCAGGGAAGGTGTGAGGGGTCGCTCCCTCTCCACCCCCGCAGGGTGGTCTTTCTCACAGCAGCGGTCAAATACAAGGTCTGCCAAATACACCTGTTGCCTGACTGATCACTGATCAGATGTCAGCCCCCTAGGAAATGGCCTTTGTGGTGGTGTTGGCGGGGCGTCAGTTGTCCAAGGGCAGAGCTGGTCAGTGGTGTGGGCTTTGGAAGGTCAAGGTTTCCACTGTGGCTTTGCCTGTGATCTGTGATCACTTGCAAAGCGGTTATAATTGCTCTGGCCTTGGGACGCCTGGGTGGCTCAGTCGGTTGAGCGTCTGCCTTTGGCTTAGGTCATGATCTCAGGGTCCTGGGA